TCTATAAAATAGGGAACACCCTACTGATGTTGTATACCTCCCAGGGTTGAGCTGCTACCTATGTGAAGTGCTTTGTCAACTCTAAGGCACAATACATATGTGAGTAATGGTTATAATTATTAGTAGTATCACAGGATCATACAGTTTTGGGTGGGAAGACGTCTAACAGAGGGAAGAGATCTAGTTCTTAACCTATTTGTGTGTGTCATGGACCCCTCTGGCCATCTAGTAAAGCCTCTGGACCCTTTCTCTAAGTAACACTCTTTAATGCATAAAATAAAATATGTAGGATTGCAAAGGGAACCAATTACATTGAAACTTAGCTATCAAAATGCTAATAAGACAGCAAGTTCACGGAGGTTGCCTAGGTAATCTAATGCAGGTCCCCTTACCTCTTTCTTTCCATTTTAAATTAGCAAAGTAAGGACAAGAAAGTGCAAGTGATGCCCCCAAAGTCACACAGCTAATGAATAGAAGGATGGAGATACAGACTCAGGTCCTCTGACCTCCACGCCCACCAGATGCTTTTCTAACAACCTGAGTTTTTTGAGAACAATGGCAGCAGTGGGGCTGAAATGATGCTGCTCAGAATCAAGGGGAGGATAGCTTCTTAATTCTGCTTTATGTTCACTCAGCTTTTCTTGCCAAATTATTTACCTTTTTTATTATGTTTTGCACAGGTCAATGTTAGGATTGTTCATTTCATTAATACCGGGAGCTGTCCATGAGCAAGAGGCTGCCTGTGCTGAAGCCTCTCAATTGAAGGAGGTCCAGTGAGCATCCCTCCTCTAACTTAGACTATTGCCAGGGAGAAGTATGGGAATTGGGAAGTAATGGGATGTAGTAGGCTTGCTGCAATTAGAGTCGGGAGAAGACCTAAATGCTATCTCACCATTGACCTTTACCAACTTGGTGGTCATGGGCAAGTCACTGATCCTTCTGACCCTCAGCTTCTCATTATAAAGAGGATAACGATACCTGTGGTGCATACCTCTGAGAGTTGGTATAGGACCAAATGAAGACTGTGCATTGTTACACAAATGTCAGCTGTTATTTTTTCCATCTTTTCTTCAGGGAATGGTTCCCCAATAGTCTTCATTAACTTGTCTTACATCACCTGGAGGAGCTTAAGGTTCAACATATATAACATGTTTATAATTTTTCTATTTTCCTGACCAAAAAGTGTGTAATTCTTCCTGAGGAATTGTTCTGGTGGAGAGATGCATGGATTGGGAAGTTAGGAAACTCGGGTTACAGAATGGTTTTCACCCCTGACCAAGCAAGTTAGTTTCCTCTACTAAGCCTCAGTTTCCAGATCTGTAAAATGGGGGTAAGAATATCCACCATCCCTACCTCTTAGAAACATTGTAAGGAACCACAATGATGACTGTTAGCATGCACCAAAACACTGAAAGTGATAGCCAAATGCCCAACAATACCATTGTATCCTATATAGTGTAATGCCTTGGATAGAAGGCTAGTCTGGGAGTTTAAATCCCCAGCCCCATCAGCTTTAGCCATGTTGCTTAAATTCTCTAAGCATCAGCTTTGTCTTTGTAAAAATGAGGGGGGTGAACTAACCAACCTCTGAGGTCTCTTCCCATAGGTAATCTAAATGACCATATGAATTTTGGCTCTGATATTTGCTGTATGACCCTGGACCAGTCATTTTACCACTGAGAATGGTATAGTGGAGTGAGTCCTGGGTTTGGGGTGAGAGAACCTTAGTTCAAACAGCTCTGCTAAATAGTACTCATATGACCGGGGCTACTTACTTTTCCTCTCTTGCTTTCAGTTTCCTTTTTGGTAAAATGAGCAGGTTGGACTAGATGGCCCTTAAGGTTCATTCTGGCTCCAAATCCCATCATCAGTTTCCTCATCTGTGCAATGGGGTTAATAATACATGCACTACTTACCTCATCCAGAATTGTTTTGAGCAAAGTGCCTTTAAACACTGAAGCAAAGAACAAGCTGTTACAGTGTTTAATAATACCTTTTCTGCTCCCCTGTCTTAACCAGCCACCATCAAAGGTAGAGGTGTCACTCTGATCTGTATCCTTCCTAATCAATCCCACCTGCTCTTCATTTCTCCAAGCACCAGAGAAGGTACCCACTCAGGGCTCTCCATAGACCTACACAAAAGGCAGCTGTTTCCGTAGCAACAGGACACTTCCACCACAGCATTTCTCCCTCACTGAACAATACCCCCCCAATCAACTGGCTTTATTCCCTGAAAATTCCTCCCTTTCCTCCATAGTCAAACGTACCTGGGATTATCCAACAAAAGCAATGTTCCCCCATACCAAGCCAGTAGGAAAATGGGGCTTAAGGTAAGTACCACTTGGAAAGATCCCTGGACTTAGGCAGGGGCTCCTGATTCTAATCCTGCCCCTTTCACTATCTATGTAACATTGGGCTTGTCACTTAAACTGTCTAGATTTTGTTTTTTTTTTCCTCTATAAGAGAAGGGACTTCATAGACTGTCAATACTGGAAGGACCTTAGAACATGGAATATTAACATTGGAAGGGAGCTTAGAAATGACTTACCTAAGGTCACATAACAAGTATTTAGCAGAGCCAGAATTTGAGGTCAAATCTCTCCATCACATATCCTGACCTCTAGGTAAGCTGTAAACTCTGAGAGTAATACTATAGACCTAATGTAACCCTTCCCCTGGACTGGAAATAGCACATAGAACCAGGTATGGAGATGCATACCTATAATCTCTATTACTAGGAGGATGAACCTGATGAATTTGTGGAGCTGAGAAGTTCTGAGCTGTGGTAGGGCTAAAGATGATCTGCTGCCTGCACCGGGTCCAGCAACAGCCTGGGAAACCCTCAAGAGCAGGAAGCCACCAGGCTGAACTGGAAATGGAGCAGGTCAAAGCTTCCATGCTGATCAACAGTGGAATTATGCCCATGAATTGTGCCAAAGCACTACCAACCTGGATGAGATAGGGAGGCCCTAGTAATCATCATCATCAACAATGACATCACCACCACCATCACCACCATCATCATCATCTGCATGTATACAGTGCTTTAAGGTTTACAAAGCAATTCTTCACCTCCTCCTAAAACAGCTGTATCCCAAAGGCATTGCCTTTAGAGTCAAATGACTCAAGTTCAAACCTTGCCTCTATCACTTAAGAACTGTGATTGTGGTCAAGTTTTATCTGTCTCAGGTTAGTCATCAGTAAATCAATGGGGTTGGACTAGATGATCTCTAAGGTCCCTTCCAAGTCTAATCTATGTTCCTATTTTCCTAAAACTCTTATCCCACATCCTGACCTTGTCTTCCTTGATCTCTATGAAATATTTGATGCTATGGACTATCCTTTCTATCTTACTCCTCTTTCTTCACTTAACTTCCATGACACTATACTCTCTCTCTCTCTCTCTCTCTCTCTCTCTCTCTCTCTCTCTCTCTCTCTCTCTCGCTCTCGCTCTCGCTCTGTCTCTCTCTCTGTGTGTCTCTGTCTCTCTCTGTCTCTCTGTCTGTCTCTCTCCTTCCCTCCCTCTCTCTCTCATATATATAATGTAATGTAATGTAATGTAATGTAATGTAATGTAATGTAATGTAATGTAATGCAATGTAATGTAATGTAATGCAATGTAATACAATGTAATGCAATGCAATACAATACAATGCAATACAATGCAATGCAATGCAATGCAATACAACATAATATAATACAATATAATACAATATAATACAATACAATATAATACAATACAATACAATATAATACAATACAATACAATATAATATAATACAATACAATACAATATAATATAATATAATATAATATAATATAATATAATATATATATATATAATATAATATAATATATAATATAATATAATATATATAATATAATTATATAATTAATATATATAATATAATATATTAATATAATATAATATAATATAATATATATATTAATATAATTAATATAATACAATATATATAATATAATATAATATAATATAATATAATATAATACAATACAATATAATATAATATAATATAATATAATATAATAAATATAATACAATATAATACAATATAATACAATACAATATAATATAATATAATATAATATAATATAATATAATATAATATAATATATAATATAATATAATATAATATAATATAATATAATATAATATAATATAATATAATATAATATAATATAATATAATATAACATAATATAATATAACATAATATAACATAATGTATGTATGTATCTCCTACTCTTTGACTATGTCTTTGTCTCCTTGGCTTGTTCCTCTTGCTCATCTCCCCCTTAAATATGGGTATTCTACAAGCTCCTATTATAAGTCCCCTTTCTCTTCCCCTTTGCTCTCCTCCCCCTTGAGAATTTCATGGATTTCTCCTAGTTTCAACTATCACCTCCAACCTGTTGACTCTTAAATCTACATGTTTAGTTCTCCCAGACTCTCCCCAGAGGTTCAGCCACAATTTTCCAAATGTCTACTAGAAATTTCTACATGGGTATCTCTCCAACATCTCAAATCCAGTGTGTCCCATGCAGGGACACATTTTCCCAGGAAACCTGCTCCCCAACTCAATGTCATGTTTATGCTGATTCTGCTATCATTTTAGTCACTCAGGTTTGAATCTTTTGAATTATCTTTCCACTCTTTCCTCTTCCTCACTCTCTAAATCCAATCAGTTGCCAATTAGCCAGTCTGTTGGTTCTACTTTCATAACTTTCTGATCTTTGGCTCATCTTCTCAATTCCCACTGTAAACATGTGTGTTCAGGACTTCATCCTTTCTAGGCATCTAGATGGCACCATAGATAGACAGCTTGCCTTTGAGTTAGAAAACCCAAGCTTGAATCCTGCCCTGGACACTTACTAAATGTGTGATCCAGGGCAAGTCTCTTAACCTCTTTCAGCCTCAGCTTCCTCATGTATAAAATGTGGATAATAATAGCATCTACCTTTACAGAGTTGTTGTGAGTACCTAACTGAGTGCGTTAATATGTGTAAAAGGATTTATAAACCTTACATCACTATATAAATGTTAGCTATTATTGTTGTTGTTTTTATTGTCTTGACTGTTGTAATGTTGTGCTAAATGGTCTTTCTGATTCTGGTATCTGCCATCTGCAATTGTCTTATTGCAGTGGATACATATCATCTTTCTAATTCACCACTCAGATCATACCACCACCTTGCTCAAAAATCTCTTATGATTGCCGGTTACCTAATGAATTGAGATCAAACTCTCATTCGTACTTAAAGCTCCCCACAGTGTAAGGCTTTTTTCCTAGATGTATATTACTCCATTATATAATCACTCTTTCCAACCACACAGGACTATTCCCCATTTCCTATTCTTATCCTGTTCTCCCCTGCTTCTTCACCTTTTCTTGTGTGGTCCTGCATATCTGGAATGAATTTCTTCACCTCTCCCACCCCCACCTCCATAAACATCTGCCAACATCATTCCGTTCCTTCAAGATGCAACTTAGATGGCATGTTCCCCAAGCAGCCTGCTATTCCTCTTCACTCCATCACCCAAGCACAAATCTCCTCTCCCTCCTAATATTTCTCAGTACACAGTTCCTGGACAGCTCCCCCACTTACCTCACCCTCCCCTGTATCCCTGTGACTGTTTGCATCTTTCCCTCATTCCACTGTAAGTTCCTGGAGGGTGGCATCTGTGTTTTATCTTTTTTTTTTTTATATTCCCAGTACTTGAGTACAAGGGCTTGTATCTAATAGGTGCTTAATATATGTTTTCTGAGTGATCAAATGTGAGTTATTCTAAAGTGCGCAATGTGCCCAGTGGCCACAATTCAGCACCTAAGTGTGAGCTGTAATCATTACAACTCTCCTCATTGGAGGCTGTGGGTGGAATTTCAAACGCCAGGAATTATTCTTAAAAAGCATAATTTCAGTTTTGTTAAGCATCTAAAGATAATTTTAAGCAGGTGTTCATGTATCGAAAGCCCATTAGGAGCCTTGAGACCTGAGCTGGCATTTTTCAGGGGAAGAGGAGATTCTTTCATGGCTTCAGAAAAGGCTTGGAGCCTTCTATGAGTTATGCAATGGAAGGGGCTCTGGTTCTAGAGCCAGCAACATAGAGATCAGCTTCTAGCTCTCTTACTTGCTAGTAAGTAGCTTTACTTGCTCACTTCTGCCAGCCTCAGTTTTCTTATCTCTAAAATGGGAATGACAGCTGCAGTATATATTGGACTTGCAGTCTGGAAGAACAAGATTAAAATCATGCCTTTGTCGTTTTCTAGTTGTATGACCCTGGACAAATCTGAGCCTCACTTTATCCAGCTGTAAAATGGAGTTGACAAAAACTGTGCTATATGAGAAGCATTGTGGCATAAGTGGAAAGAGCACTGTGCTTGGAGTTAGGAAGATCTGGGCTCTGATCTTGCTTTTTGACACTTACTGGCAGCGTGGCCCTATGAGCCTCTCTGAGACTCAGTTTCCTTTCTGGGAAAATGAAGATAATAATACCTGTTGAGAGGTACTGTGGTATAGTGCAAAGAGCCCTAGGCTTGGAATCAGGATGAATTGGGTTTGAATTAAGCCTCCAATACTTCTTAGTTGTCTGATTTTAGGCAAATCACTTCCCTCTCTGAGCCTTAATCTGCCTTTCTGTTGAACCACCTAACATTAGGTGGAGTGTTGCGAGGATAATAACACAGTGGTGTTGTGAAACTCAATTGAGGTCACGTTTGTGAAAGGCCATCTGAATGTCTGTTATTATCATTACTTGAGGGAAAGTTTGTAAACCCCAAAGTCCCACAGAAAATGAACTATCGTTACCATGGAAAGCCTGTCCCTGTACTGCTAATGGGCTCTTCCTGTTGGTGCTGAGAAAACAGGAAAAACTTAGAGAGTTTGTCAGAAGTCAAGCTTTGCCTTAAGAAAATAGTTCTGTCAGCAAAAATGGTGTGCGAGGTGATGCTCCTGTTTACCCATCTGGGAGTTAAGAAATGCTTAGTCTTTCCATTTTCTCACTTGTATATTTCAGGCCTCTGTGGAGCAGCTTAAAAAAAGTGGCAAGAGACTGAATCAGCCTCAATAAAATGTCAAAGAAGAGGCTGTCTTTTCTGGGTGGATACTGGGGTCTGGGTAGTAAGCCTGGGGTCAGAGGATTGTGGATTCAGAGCTGGCAAGTTGGGACCTCAGATAAGCTCTTTCATCCACCCTTCTTTTTACAGGTAAGGAAACTGAGGCCCATGGAAATTAAGGACTTACCCAGGGTACTTCGTTTTACAGAGTAGGTAACTGAGGCACAGAGAAAGGCAAAGTTGCTGATAACAAGGCTTATCATTGTTGTTCAATTGTGTCTGCCTCTTTGTGACCCCATTTGGGTTTTTTTTGGCAAAATCACTGGAGTGGGTTGCCATTTGCTTCTCCAGCTTATTTTACAGATGAGGAAACTGAGGCAAACAGAGTTAAGTGACTTGCCAGGGGTCACACAGGTAGTAAGTGTCCGAGGCCATATTTGAACTCGTGGAGATGAGTTTTCCTGACTGCAATCCCAGTGATCTATCCACTGCATATGAGGTTACTAAGGTACAGAGAGAAGTGAAGGGATTTGCCCAAATCATAGGTGACTAAAACAATAGTAGTCAAAGAGTTGGAGTAAGAATTCAAATTCTACCTCAGACATTTAGTTGTGTGACCCCTTCATTTGTAAAATGGGAATAATAATGCCACCTGCCTCACCAGGTGGTTGTCAGGTAAAGGATCAAATGAGTCAGTATGGATAATGCACTTTGCAAACCTTTTTCAGGATTGTTTGTGCTCCTTTAAGAATGATAAATTCTAGCAAATTTAGACTCCTAGTTTTTCTCCCAAAGCAACCAATTTGTTTCTTCCCTCTAAAATGTTCCAATAGGCTGTCCCTCATGTTTGGAATGCATACCCTCTTCATTTCATGTCAGAGCCACTGTTTTCCTTTAAGACCCAGCTAAGCTGCCGCCTGTCCTATGGAAATTTCCCTGAATTTTATTCTGGAGGCATAGTCACCAAAAGAGTTTTTTTGTTTTGTTTTGTTTTGGGGCAGTGACTTGTACCTTAAAGAAAATTATTTTGTTCACCATGGGGAGGAGAGATTGTTCAAAGGGGAGATGAAAAGCAGGAAGATCAATTAGAAAGTTATTAGAAAATAGCCCATGCATGAGATTATATGTGTGAGATAATGAAGATCTGAACTAAGGCTGTGGTCGTGTGAGCGGAGGGAATAATAACATAACAATAAGAGCTCACACTTATGTAGTGCCAGGCGCTGTGCTTACTGCTTTTACAATCACTATTTCATTTGATCCTCACGACAACCCTGGGAGGTGTGTGCTGTTATTATCCTCATTTTACATTGAGGAAGCTAAGGCAAATAGAAGTTAAGTGACTCGCCCAGGGTCACAAGCTACTAAGTATCTGAGGCCAGATTTGGACTCAGGTCTTCCTGACTTCAAATCTGGTGCTCTATCCACTGCTCCACCTAGTTACTTCAAGAAGGAAGTGAAGGTGAGACATGTTTTAAGAGTACAGTCAACAAGATTTGATAATTGATTGAATATTGGGTGTGAGGGAAGGGGAAAGTGAGGAATGATTCTGAGGTTATGACCCTGGTTGACTAGAAGGATAGTGCTGCTCTTAACAGAAATACAGAAGTACAGAGAAGGGACAGTTTTTCGTTTCTGTTTTGTTGCATTAATAACATATAAGCTTGAGTTACTTTCCTTCTTCTCTCTCTTTCTCTCCCTCTCTCTCTCTCTCTCTCTCTCTCTCTCTCTCTCTCTCTCTCTCCGTCTCTCTCTCTCTCTCTCTCTCTCTCTCTCTCTCTCTGTCTCTCTCTCTCTCCCCCTCCCTCTCTCTCTCCCCCTCTCCCTCTCTCTCTTCTCTCTCTCTCTCTCTCTCTCTCTCTCTCTCCCCCCTCCTCTCTCTCTCTCCCCTCCTCTCTCTCTCTCCCCCTCTCCCCCTCCTCTCTCTCTCTCTCCCTCTCTCTCTCTCTCTCTCTCTCTCTCTCTCTCTCTCTCTCTCTGCTTCCCCTCCTTCCCTCCCTCCCTTCTTTCCTAATAATAGTTTGCATTTATATATTTATATATGCATGTATATATGTTTATATATATATATATACACATATATATACATATATATATATACATATATATATAGCATTTATATAAGCACTTTAAGCATCATACAAATATTATTTCATTTGATCCTAAAAACAACCTTGTGAAATAAATGCTGTATTACTACCATTTTACAGATTAGGAATCTGAGGCTAAGAGAAGTTGCATTAGCCCAGGGTCACAAGCCAGTAAGTGTTAGAGGCTGAATTTGAATTTATGTCTTCCTGATTCCAAGTCCAGTGTACTTATACATTTCATCACCTAGCTACTGCCTCCTTCCTCCCTTCCTCCTTCCCACCCTCCCTCCCTCCCTCCCTCCTTTCCTTCCTTCCTTCCTTCTTTCCCACTTTACCATGTGTTCTTGGGCAAATCACATTACTTCTTTGGGAACCTCTGATTTTTCTCATGGAACTCAAGGGTGATGATCATGTGATCTGTAAATTAGAATAATTATTAAAATTATATAATCTGCCTGCTCTTTGAGGTCTTGATGTTTAATGGCAACAGCTAGAAGGTGCAGTTAGAAAATGTCTCAACCCTTCCACCTTGCAAGCAATTGGGAGGCTGTCTGCACACACTACCGAGTATTCTTCCACAAGTCACTTGTCACTGCAGCCATTACTGCACATAGAGCATCCTCACAGTAAGGAGCCCCCATTTGGGATTCATACTCAATGCACAATTTATGTTCCCAAATTCTAATTGTAAATTATGTGAACTCACCGTGCTACGAGCTTTTTGTCTCAGAGTGAAACTTGCTAGCTGCCAGTCTTTTGATGAAGAAAAATGAACTGCTTATTTCACAAGAAGAAATACCCAGATTTCTGTCAAAGAAAAGTGCTTCTCTGCCATCTTGAACATTGGGAAATCCTAGAATCTCGGGGCTGAAAGAACAAAGAATACAGAATGTAAGAGGTAAAAAGTAGTTGAGAATGTTAGAGTTGACAGGCACCTTAGAACATGGAATGTCAAAACTGGGAGGAACCCTAGAACAAAGAATGTTAGAGCTGTAAGAGACCTTAGGACACAGAATTTAGAACTGGGAGAGAGATGAGATCATAGACTATAGAAAGCTAGAGCTGTAACTGAGCTTAGACCACAGATATTAGATTGCCAGAGCTGAAAGAGATCTTAGAACATGGGATAGAACATCTGGAATGGAGCTTAGAACATAGAATGCTACAGTCAGAGGCACCTTATGACATGCAATATTAAAACTGAGGTATCCCAGATTAAAAGCTGGAGGTGAGTTTAGAACACAGTATGCCTGAGCTGAAAAAGAACTTAGAACATAGAATTTAGAGATCCAGAGTTGAAAGGGACCTTAGACAACAGTATAACTGTTGTAGCTGCAACTGATTATAAAAGGAACCAGATAGATTATGTAGCACAATCTTCTCATTCATTTAAGAGAACAGAAGATAGAGGTGTGGGCAGAAAGGGCAACTTACCCATGATTCAAAATCTTGTAAGCAACAGAATAGAAACTCTAACTCAGGTCCCCTAATTCACATCTTAGTGTTCTGTTCACCCAGGTCTTCTTAAACTTTTTCCTTTCCCCACCCCTTCTTTGTTTAGACAGCATTAGTTGGCATTATGAGGCCTAAGGGCATGCATGGTGCAAAGTGCAAGTGCTTTGTGTTCAGAACCAAGGCTGTAATGAAGTTGCTCGATGCAATACAGGTAAGTGCTGCCAGAAACACCTCAGATTCATTATGCATTTGATTGTTAACTAATTTTTGGTCATTGCATGGTCAGAAAGTTTTTACTGTTGCCAAATTTTTCATGACTCCATATGGGGTCATGACCCACAGCAGGTTTTTTTTTTTTTTTCACAACTCACAGTTTAAGAAGCACTGCAGTAGACTACATTGTCTCCCCATACTTCTATAAAGGACACATAGAGTCAGGTACCATCCGGCACACCAGAGCACAACTAAAAGTGGGAGTGAGTGGGGCTTAGTTTTAGACTGTTAAGGTTGAGTTGACACTGTTATATTCAATCAAAAATGCCTAAACATTGAAGATATATGGAGAGTGATTAGATATGTATAATCCCTTATACAGAGAGATATGTATGATCCCACATAGCTCGAAAATCTTTGCTTCTTAGGACTCCAGGGCCCTTCTGGTCTCTTCCTTTCCCCTCACTCCCCATATGCAATCATTTGGCAATTCCCATTAATTCTAACACATCTTTCCCTTCCTCTCCCTTCCTCTCCATTTCCACGGCCGCCATCTTAATTTAGGCCCTTGTCGTGCCCACCTGACCTTTTGCAATAGCCTCCTAGCTGGTTTCCCTACCTCTAGTCACTAATTGCTCCAGTCTTAGCACACCTGCTGAAATAATATTCCTAATACACAGGTCTGACTATACTATTTTCTTGCTCAAAAGTTGTACTTGGCTCCCTATAGCCTCTAGGATAAAATATACATTCCTTAGTTTCCCATTCAAGATATTTCACAATCTGGCTCCAACCTATCTTTCAGGTTCTGTCTTATAGTCCAGGCCTTGGTGCACTCTGAATTTCAGCCAAACATGAGTATTCTCCATTCCTGTAACTTGTCCTGCCCTTTCCCACTCTAATTCCTTTGTGCACATTGACCCCAGAGCCTGGAATGAACTCCCCATCACATGCTGAATTCTACTTCTTCTTCCAAGGCCCAGCACAGGTACCACTTCCTCCATGAATAATGAAAATAATAATGTTGTTCAGTCACAGCTGACTCTGAGTGACCCCACCAGGATTTTTTTTGGCAAAGATGCTGGAGTGGTTTGACATTTCCTTCTCTAGCTCATTTTACAGATGAGTAAACTAAGACAAACAGGGTTAAATGACTTGCCCAGGCTCAGGTAGCTAGGAAGTATCTGTGCCCAGATTTGAACTCAGGTCCTCCTTAAAAGTACATATGTTCCTCATCCCATCTCTCGAATTTCACTTTTCTCTCCTCTCTCATCTCAGTTAGGAATTACATCTCTGTGTTCACAGCTCCTAAAATCACAGAGCTTTCTTCAGGGAACCATTCACATCTTTTGGGGTCTTCCATGGAGGCTACATATGTTCTGTGTTAAGACCTATTCAGCTTTGATATTCTGTATTTTGTGTTCTAGGGTCCTCTTCACCTCTGATATTCTATCAATCATCCCTTTTAGCTCTGGCAGTCAATGTTCTGTGTTCTAAAGCTTCTCTCAGCTTTAATACTCTTGGTTCCGTGTGCACTTCCAGCTCTAACATTTAATGTTTATAATTTAAGGTCTATGTTCTAAGGTCCCTTTTAGCTCTTAAATTCCATGTTCAATAATCCAAGGTCTCTTCTGGCTCTAGCATTCTATGTTCTGTAATTTAAAAACCCTTCGAGCTCTAACAGTGTGCTTATAGTCTATGGTCTAAAGTTCTATCATACCGTATCTAGGTTCTAAAGCCCCTCCTAATTTTAGCATTCTATGTTTTAAGGACCCACAAGACCTGACATTCTATACTCTGTAATCTAAGGACCTTTCCAGCTCTAACATATTCTATGGTCCTATCTAGCCCTGAGGTTGTACTTTCCATAATCTAATCTAAAGTCCCTGACATTCTACGTTTTGTGTTCTACAGGCTCTCACAACTCTAGTATTTTATGCTTTAGGGCCTATCTACCCTGACATTCTATGAATCTGTGAAATTAGAATATATGCCTGTGGAGAAAAAGAAGTCAAGAAGGGAAAAAATGACACCAAAAAGGGGAAGGGGCGTTGGGGTACGTGAAGGCTTCCGAAGATGACAGCACTCCCTCTCGGTTTAAGACTCTGGCCTTTGGGATTTATAAAACCCACATTTTATCAGTCTGTCTGAATTTTTTTCTAATCTTATGGTAAAGCAGTAGCAATGAAACCACAAGGGAGAGCTCATCTCTCTTGCAAAGGAACACACTAAACACATTAAAGAGAAATTAGAAAAAGCCTGGGGTTTGCTTTCTGTTTGCATAATGGACATTGGTTGCCTGTTAACCTAACCTCCCTCAGCTATTGATGTGTTTCATAAAATATTCTTGGCCTCATGTACCTGCATATAGCAGGAACCTTGTAACCAGGCTGCTTTTAAAGAAAGCACTGCCTTTGCTCTCAGTGTTTCCCTACCCAAACAAAGGGTACCACAATGTTTATAATGGACTCAGAGACCCAGTCTAAATGCAGCTAATTCTAAGGGCTGCAACCTGGCAAGATGGTTCATTAGGCATGGGTTTTGACAGCAACCATGGAATGATAGCCTATGGGAATATTTAAATATTAGGCCCATTTTAATAGAATCCTAGAAGTTCAGGGCTGGAAATCATGCCCTGCCCAAATCACCTAATCCAACTTCTGCCTAAGGAATCACATTTTAAACACCACCTTCCATTGAAGGGTATCTCCCTTTCTACCAAAGCAGTTCATTCCATTAATTCCTATTCCATTTAATACACATTTATTAAGTGACTCTGGAGTATATTGCATAGGTACTTTAGACATATTTGATTATCTGAAAGCTTTTCTTTATGTTGAACTGAAACCTGCCTCCTGTGATTTTTTTTCCTAAATTTTGGTTCTAATTCTGCTGACTAGAGCAACAGAAAATAAGGCAAACCCCTCCTTCCATCCAACAAGCCTTCAGATTTTGAAATACATGGATAATCCCTCCTCCCATTTCCATAGCTGTTAATTCAACCAATCATTATATAGCAGTCTTCAGTTTTCTTGCCATCCTGGTCGTCCTCCTCTGGACTCACTCCAATATGCTAATATCCTTCCACAGTGTGGTGCTCAGAATTGAATCTAGGACACTAGATATTTTCATAACTCCTCAAGATTCAGTTTCCTCCTATATCAATAATTGAAGAATCCATTCTTTTTTTTTCTTTTGTTCTCTTGTTCTCTTCTTGTTCTTTCTTTGTTTAAAATCCATTTGTTATTTACTAGGATGGGTCCTTTCTCCACTAATACCGATCACAAACCCTTCCACGCCTTAGCAGACAGTTTCACGAGTTGCTCTATGCAAGGGAAAAATGTGTTGATTGGCTGATTGATGATGAACCTCTCTATGGTTAGCTAGGCAAGACCTCAAGACAGAGATATTTAGTCCATACTTAGGACCATACACAGAGTTTTTCTATATCAGAAGGACCTGCAAGATCTTACTCTCCATTGGAAGAGCCTTTAAAAGCCCAGCATAGGTTGGCATAGACAATGGGGTCAGATGAGTTGGCATGTGTAAAGGGTATTCCCACTGGCCACTGATGGAAAGAGAAAGGTCCAACAATAATGTTCTTCGAAACTGTACTAACTGGTCAGGAGCAAAACGAATAAAATGCCAGGACATTATACAGGATTCAGGAAGACCTGAGTTCAATCCTCCCTTAAATACTATATAGTGATGTGATCCTTAGAAAGTCACTTAACCACTTTCAGTTTCTGTTTGTTGAACTGTAAAATGGAGTCTGGAAGAGCTCTTACTTCACAGGTTTACTGTGAGAACCAAAATGAGATAATGCCTGTGATGTGTATTCAAAACTTAAAGGACTATAGAAGTGTTATAGAAGAGGCTTCTACCAGTCAACAATTCTGAGGCTGACCTCAGAGAACTGTAAAGACCAATCCATCTCTGAGGGTCTATAATTCTAGGAAATTTTATCTCCATATAGCCATACCATCTAGAGAAATCCTGGCTTCCCAATGATCTATCCTCTGTATACCCAGAATAATCAGGTTTATGCACAACTGGTAAGTCAGAATATTGAATCTATCTCTCTCTCCTCCCCAGTCTTCATAAATGACTGCAGGTCTCATCATTCCAAAGGTTATATGGAATTGGCCAAAGAATGATTTCACCTACTCTGCTGCACAGTTATTGATCAATTTCTGATAACTTCCCTAGAAGTTTGAGGTCACTGAGTCTATCTCTCTGGAGATAATTCTTGCCACTTGAATGATGATAAAAAAAAAATCATTATTAATGGATATGATGAGGTAACTCATCTTGAATGCTGTCATAATTGGAAACCAAATTTATGGTTAGATTCTTGCCAAGTGTTATCCAATGTCAGAGGAAGCTTTGATTAAAAATCTGGGTCAGTCCCAATCTTCTTAAAAACCATTAGTTGGAATTTTCTTGAGCCATAAATTATAGAATCAAAAAGCAGTTACAGCTAGAAGAGAACTTAGAACATAGAACTTAGAAAAAAACATTGAAGGTTAGAGGTGCAAAGGGCCAAAAAACATAGAATGTGTTGCTTAAAAGGAGAACTTAGAATGTTAGGACTTTGACTATGGAATGTTAGAAAATGACCTTGACCAACCAGGAGAGGTAGCTTCCCAAAGACTATTTGGTCTATTTGGAGATGTGTCTTAATTACTGTTGCTGAATATTGTGTTTGCTCTTTTTACTGCTTCCTGTTGAGTGGTAAAGACTACTAGGCTGCAAATCAGGAGACCTGGTTTCTAGCACTCATCTGTCACTTTCCATCTATTTGACCTTGAACAAGTCACTTCCTTCTCTGCATATCAGAT